TGTCTGGAATCCTGCTGGGAGAGGCGGGGAGAAGAGCCTGCCTTGCTTTTTCCTGTATCTTTTAAAAAATGAAATTTCCAGTAAGCATGAGTGAAAACCATCAGCCCAGCTGGAAGGACACATGTTCTTGGTGCTGACGCAGGGAAGTTGCCGCAGCTTCTCTCTGCACGTGCCCCCTCCCCTGGCCAGGCCAGGCACAAGGGGCCTTTGCCAGGGCCATCTCTCTTCACCATTGAGGGCAAAGAGAAGCAAGGCACACACAGCCCCCTGCAAGCCCTGGCCTGCTCCACAGGCAGGGGAAACCGAGGTCAGGAAGGCCGCAGACTTACCCACTTCCAGGCAGCCTGGAAGGACTTGCTGGGCATGGGACATGAGGCTGGCAGAGGAAGCTCCAGGGTGAGGCCTCACCATTGCCCCCGGGCCCACAACGCACTCAGCACCCGGGCCCCAGTGAGGCTGAGGCTGGAGACAAGCAAGGCTCGGAGCTCCCACAAAGGCCCTACCCTCAGACACCCGTGACCTCAGCACGCTCTGACTAAGCTCCCCTTGGAGCTGTGAATGGGGATTCAACACCCACGAAAGGGAGACACAGTGCCCTGAAGACACAGGCACTAGGATGGCCCTGCCCTGCAGCATGCAGGAGGAGCCAAGGACCCAGCCGAGCTGAGAGGGCAGCTTCTGTAAGAGGGGCCTCAAGCTTTCATTCTGGAGGGAAGAGTGTCGGGGACAGATAAGGAAGCAAAAGTCCCTAGGCCAAGGGACAGCACATGCCAAGGCCTGGCCACATGAGCAAGGGCAAGTGGCGTTCAGCCTAGACTATGAGGTGGATCAGCCAAGAGTGAGGTGGAGGGCAGACCTGCCCCAGAAGGGCTGCTGCAGTAGACTCAACACAAATCTGCTCTGCGGCTCAGAGTCAGCCAGGACACAGGCCTCTGTACACACATGGTGTATTTGTGTGTGCCTCGGAGGAATGGGCTGTGCTCACAGATACACAGGTGTGCACAGCTGTGTGTGTGCAAGGTACACATCCACCAGGGTGGAGCACCAGAGCGTGGGACATACATATGTGCAAGGCATATGTATGCAAAAGTGCTTGTATTTGCGTGCAAGAGTGTGCACAGCATGTGTTGATGATTATGTGCACAAATATGGTATATGTGCACACCTGGACATAGGTGTCCACAGCACATGTGCATCAGGATGTCGGTGTGCGCATGCACACGTGTAAGGTGGGTGTGCATCCTGTGTGAGCAGTGCAGACCCAAGTAGGGGTGCACACCTACAGGCATTACATCTGGTACACTGGGTATATTTGTTTGTGTGCAACACATGACAATGTATGCCAGTGTGCAACAGTGTACATGCATGGATGTGCCCATGCAGGAGAGTGTGCAAGTTCAGTGTGTGCATGAACCAGTGTACATGCATGTGTGTGGGCACGAGCCTGTGCATGGATCTTCTTGTCTGCATGGGCAGGGAGTCTAAGTGCACACAATGCTCCTGTATGGGTGAATGTATGAACACACGTGTGCAGGGATGCACATGGGCGTGCAGACTCACGTGTGTGGGGGAGGTGCACGTGTGTGTGCACGTGCATCTGGGTGTGCAGTGGGGTACTTCAAGGCGACGAGCTCCCTCAGCCCACGCGAAGGCTGCTCAGCAGCACGGAGTGCACTTCCCCGGGCACTGGAGGTGAGCTCCCGCCCGAGAGCACCCAGGGATCCTGGCTGCCAGACCACTCTGCGCCCCGCTGCCTCTGGGCCTCGCCTCTGGCGAGGTGAGTGGTGCCTCTGCAGCCTGGGATGCGCTCCTCTGCTCGGCTCCCTCTGCAGCGCACCCACTGCCTCCCACATGCCCCTGAGAGCAAACGAGTGAGCACGCAAGACACCCACTGCCTCCCGCAGTGCGGCCCGACTCCCCACAGTGCATTTCTGCTGTCCCGCCTGCTCACGCCCAGCGCAGGCCTGGCTACCAGCCACCCGCAGGAAGACGCCTCCTGGGCTTGTGCTGTTTGCTTGGTGCAGGAGCCAGTGAGCCTTGCTCTCCGGTCTGGGCAAGAGGCTCCTTGGGCTCTGCTGCCCGCAGCTGTGCACCCTGGGCCTCAGCGCCAGAGTCCTGTGTACACTGCGTCCAAGCCAGACCAGGGCTCCCTGACCCGTGAACTGGGGCACAGTGGCACGATCCACCTCACACTCCTTCTCCAGAGCCTGGTGTGGACCCTCCTGAGCCCCTGGGTAGGCCGGGAGCTCAGGCTGCAGCACCACAACAAAACGCAGCCTGCTGTCCCTCCCCATGGGCACCCCAGGTGCCTTCAGCCACCCTTGCCTGCAGAGTGACTCCTGGGCAGTGAGAAGTCTCACTGGCGTCAGGCCCAGGAGTTGTTTCCTTGTTCCCTGTGGCCAGGCTGCCATCACCATACACGCAGGGACTGCCACTGGAGCAGGACCCTGCACAGACGCCCCTTTTGCCCCACGCACCCTCTGAAGCCCCCCCAATGTGGGAGCTCTGGTAGTTGGCCGGTTGCTGAGGGCAGTGATCTCTGCAGCACTCCAGCCGACCAGTGTCACTGCTTTTGTCTGTACTCTCCACTGGCAGGCCTGCCCTGCCCTCATGGAGGGCACCTCCTCCGCAAAGCCCCCCCAGGCTGGGAAGGAGCCCTGTGCACTCACTTAGTGTGCAGCATCGCCCGCCACAGATGGTGAGTCCTGCAATGCCAGGTCTCCCCCTGGAGCCCCTCTGCAGTGTGCTAGGGATGGATGATGCCAAGTGTGGGTCTTCCACACGAAATGTACCCCAGGTGCCCTGATTGGTGGGCCTCCAGGACCCGAGGGGTCTTTAATAGTGATGGTGGCTCTTCCAGGCCTGGCACCGGAACTTTGTCCCCAAGTGCACCCTGCTTTGGGCAGGCCCAAGTGAGAACTCTGCAGGTGACAGTGAACAAGGAGGCCAGAGTTCCACAGTGACATCTGCTGAGCTGGCTGTGCCCCCGACCGAGGCTCTCCATTGTTATCAGAAAATGCCAGGCCAATGGGTGAAAAAGTCTCCTCTAGGAGCCCAGAGAGGCACCTCTAGACCAGGCACACTTCTGGGCCTCACTCATGGGGCTGGGGCACGGTTGCTCAGGCCCTCTAATGAGGCCAAGCACCCCCTTCTGTCCCCCAGACCGTGCAGCAGAGGCTCCTAGCCAGCGGGGAGGTTCCTAGACTGCATGAGAAAGGTCAGGCCTGCGAACTCCAGCCGAAGCCCTTGTACCAGCTCACCACTCTTGGTCTTTCCCCCTCTGAGGGACCAACACCCAGCACCCAGGGCAGCCATGGAGTGACAGTTCCTAAGCGGATGCACAGGGCTGGGTGGGGGAGGAGACCACCCACCAGTGACTCCTTTGCGCCCACTCCAAAGCTGCCAGGTTTGGGGTTTGTAGGAGGTGGTGATTGTGAACACACACACACACACACACACACACACACACACACCGCCTTTAAAAGGGTCACGCAGCGGAAGAATTGAACTTCAAATATCGCCAACATGGGTGCAATGCTTGGGAGCCCGCCCAGGGCTGCACAGGCACCGCCGTTATGATTCATGCTTCAGCAGCGCAGGGAAGCAGCGCGCAGAGGACGGACCGGAGCCTGGCTCAGGGGACGACTCCACAGGGGAGCACAGAACCCAGGCTCCGCGGGGCCAGTGCAGGCCTGGCGGTGCCATCTACTCTGCCGGACTGCAAACCGCTCGCTCTACAATCAAGCCTCGGACCCAGAGCTAGCCGGACCGCGCACTTCTGTGCCCGCCCGCGCGCATGTGCCGGTGCCTGGGGGAGGCGAGGCACCTTCGGTCTTAGAAAGAGCAGGCTTCTAGAACTCACCACCCAAGCCAGTCAGTGCTCAGCCCAGCCCGGCAGGCTGCAGTCTGCCCTGGAGGGGGCGCCCTCGCAGAGCGCGAGCCCCGCGCCGCCGCCCCGGACTCCTCCCCGGCGCCGCGCCACCAGGTTCGCCGAGGCGGCCGCGGGCTCCGGCTGCCGGCCCGCTCCCCCCTGGGGCGGCGGCGCTGGCTTGCCCGGCGCCCCGCCCCGCCCCGCTCGCCCTCCCCTCTGCGCAACTCGACCCAAGTTGGAAGCCGAGCCCGGGCGGCTGCACTCGCGGCGGCGGCAAAGGAAGAGCAGGAGCAGGCTGCGGCGCAGCGCTGGCGAGCGAGGCAAGCGAGGCGGCACCCGCGCCCGGGAGCAGCGGGAGGACTTGCAGTGGCGGCGCCGGCGCCCGGGCCGGGAAAGTAAAGTTGGAGCCGGAGGCTGCGCGCGGGCGCGGGGGCCCGAAGGAGCGGCAGCCCATGCTCCGGCGCGCCGAGCTTTAGCCGGCCGGATGGGAGGCGGAGCGCCTGGGCCGCCGCTGCCGCCTGCAGCCTGCGCCCGGGTCGGACGCGGGGACCGTGGAGCAGACCGGGCGCGTCCGCTGGGGCGCCGCATCGCCGTGGGCTCGCTGCCGGGGCGCTCCCCGTGAACGGGGCCGCGCGGGGACCCCAAGACCTGCCCTTCTTCCTCCCGCCGCGTCGTTGCTCGCTCCGAGAGCCTCCGGCTGTG